CCCCCCCCACGAGCGCGCCCGCGCACCTGGAGACCTGCCCGCGCTACTGACCGCGCTAAACGGCAGTAACACTGCCTCAAAATTAGCGCAGTCGCGCTACCGGGCGCGCATATCACATACTATTTTGTAAAACGCGCATAACTTTTTGCACAGAGATCCGTTCGGGCTCCATAATATATCCTTGGAAAGCTATTTCAAATACCTACAACTTTCGTCCTTTGAGTTTTCCCAAATGCCTTACAAATTTTCACTTAACTCTGCAGGAAGACAGACCTTCTACAAACTTAGTCGATTTTGTCAAATCTTATGCACCTCACTTTCCATCTTGATTTTGAAACAACTATTTTCTCTCATAATCATCCCTCTAGGACTTCATATGTCTAAAATATCAAATTAATACCCATTTAACATATCCACACCTAGTCCGAATGTACGGGGTGTTACATTATCTCCCCCTTGGGATCATTCGTCCTCGAATGATTGTCCTGACTGTAACTTCTGCTAACTCTGGACCTTAAACGGGTCTGGTGGAAACATGAACTTTCATTAACACTTGTATACTAAACTGAATGAATACATGATTACTGAACTGTTGCGATACTGAATTGAATGACTACTACATTGACTGAATACCGGTCTGCCCTGAATACGTGAATACTGAGCTAACATAGGTATATGAATATTGAACTGGAACGAATATTTGAGTAATCTGAGTACTAAGCTAGCATGAATGTCTAAGTATTGGACTAACATGAGCAGTTGAGTATTGAGCTGACATTAGTATCTGAGTACTGAACTGACATGGTATCGTAGTACTGAACTGACATGAGTATCTGAGTACAGAACTGACATGAGTATCTGAGTACTGAAAACTTGAATGTTATAACATGATACGTGAAATACTGGTTGTACCACCGCTAATTCTGGTGGCAACTCCAACTCATAAGCTATTTGACCGATCTTTTGTAGGATCATATACGGCGTGATATATTTGGGACCAAGCTTTTCTTTCTTCCCAAATCTCATAACGCCTTTCATGGGCGAAACATTCAAAAACACCCAATCATCAACTTGGAACTCTAACATCTTCAAACGCTCTTGAATCAACTTAACTTTCTTTATAGTCTGATAGACCAAATTTGGTCCCAACAACTCCTCCTCACCAACTTTGGACCAACCAATTGGCGATCTACACCTTCGCCTATACATAGTCTCTCACAGTGCTATCTTGATACAAGAATGGTAGGTGTTATTATTAGCAAGGTCAATGAGAGGTATGTGATCATCCCAGTTACTTTTAACATCAAGGACATATCCTCAACTGTTTAAATAAAATGCTCTGCCTGGCCATGAAGTCTACGACGTTCTTTTTCATGTCGTTCAACCAATAAATCTCCTTGGTCATGATGCATATTTGAGAACCTGGATGGAAAGAACACCAGGAATTATAGGCTTCTAACATGATCTTCCTCTTTAAGTCCATCTATGTCTGGAACACACAATCTGTCTTGGTACCTCAGAGTACCATCATCTCCCCCTTATTCGAAAGCCATCGTTTTATACTTGTGAATCTCCTCTTCAACTGCAACACGTAGGGATCATCACGTTGTTTCTCCTTCTCTTCAGCTACTAATGGGGAACACGTCCTGTTCTAAATAACAATCCGTCATCTTCGGAGTCCGAAGTCGAACTCCTATCTTGGTTAGTGAACTTCTTTCACCAGAGTTCTCTTATCTACCTCAATCATGAGTTATACTTCTCACACTTTATCTTCTTAAGCATTTCCTGAAAACACTTATAGCATTGTTGTGACCAAAGTCTTTGACCAGTACTCTGAAGACTAGAGTCTCGAGCAATGGCACTACCCTCGTGGCACATAAATAGGCATGATTTTATAGCTTTTCTGTGATCACTTTATCATCAATAACTAAGCTCGGTGATCATTATACTCACTTTGTGTTTCTTACACATGCTATACATAATCCCTGTGGTAATTATACAATTTTCCCTCATTACCGAACTGATTTTCTTTTTCATATCCCATGCTAACTATTCGAGTTTCAAATCTCTAACGGGACTTACTGAAAATTTTCATGTCACCCCTTAGACCAAAGGTCTTATACTTGTGGATCCTTCTCTTTATGTTGGGATCCAAATAACTTTCCTTATTTTCTGCAATTCTTTGCACTCATGACGACTCATCTTCCAACTAACTTCTCAGAAATCCTTCTTACTAGGAAAGTCTATATTACCTATATAAATGGAAAGCTAATGTATTCAAAACTATCATACACAATCTAAATGATTTAACTCTGCTCACACTGTCAATCCTGGAGAAACCATATTTCGATAAGTCCTAAAGGCTATTCTTCTATAGTTTTCTCTCTTATTTCTAGCTGATTGTTTTTCCCCACTATCACTGTACTTCGGATTTAACTTAAGCTCTTTAGGTTCTAACACACGTTCGGTATTTCAAATTGTCATCTACTCACTAGAGTAACCTGGCTAAATGAATCAAATTGTACCTCTACTAGCTCTGCTGAAATTACTAATTCACTATACCAACTCAAAACTTACTTATTATTCTTTTACTAAAAACCTACTAGAATCACGTTTTCTTGCTCTACTTTGGATAACTAAAGTGAGGAATAAGGTTATTTCTAACTTCCCTCATCATCTGACCCTGTTCTACGGTCGCATACTATCCCTTCTTTCTTCTTCTTCTAAACTATGTGCATGGATCACACTTAGGAAATTCATTTGTCTTGAACAAAATTAGAATATGTAACCCCAAACTTTCTATATAATACAAATCATATCATACTATAAACATCCGCGGTAATCACTTAGTCACATAACCTAAGGGGGAACTGTCATATCTTTTATCTTACATCAATAGCTGCTTCTTATAGTAACTTACTAACGTGGTACTTCTAGTCCTGATTTGAATAAATCTAAACAACTTAAAATCATTCCCTGAAATTCACTATTGGCTGCTTTTAGTTCTCATTTTGTACCTCATATCTTCTAGTCATTTGCATGAGTTGTGCAAAATCACATCTTTGGTAATAACAAACGTTTCTGACTCCTAGGTATTTTACCCTTGGGCTCTTTTCTGTCTAAAACTATATTGACCATTGTTAGGGTGTGACATATGAACTATCATCATCCAACTTGTGGCTCCATTCCCAAGAATTACATAAAGTTGTTCTAGGAGTTAAAATACATACAAATACACTACAATGCACAAACTTATCCTTCAAAGTATACCATCATCTGATAATTCACTTCATGTGTCATCCGGTGTGTCTTGGTCTTAATCTGGTCCTAAAACATGTGAAGATTTCGCTATGATCACTGTTACTTACATTTTCTTTTAGCACCCATAGGCATCACTGTATTACTCACCAGTCACCAGAATTTTGATACACTGAAAATTGGAGATCTGGTAACTGAATAACTGATAACTGGCATCCTGAATAACCATAAACTTGCTAACTGAAAGATTGTATAACTGGTAACTGAGGTAAACTAATAGCCATAAGACATGATAACGGCTTTTGTACTTTCTGATAAGGTTATGCTCTAATCTGTAATACTATCCATTGCATCCCACTTTTAACATCCTCTAAAGTCTCATATTTACCAACCTGTACTCCATAATTATACCCCAATGGGCAATTATCCTCTCTTGGACTTTAGGTTTCTCCTGCGCGTCGCTTGGGCATCCAATACGTTTGGAATTCGATAGGAAGAGAAGGTTACCTTTTGCTATAAGCTTCAAGGCACGATCTAGAGTAGAAAGAAGTGAGACAATCCTGGATGTCTTGGTAGTTAACCGTTTATATGAGTGGCCGGCACACACATATAAAGGAAACTCCACTAGACACGGCTTCATAGACTCCCTAGGACTCTTGAACCTAGGGCTCTGATACCAAGCTTTGTCACGCCCCGAACCTGGGCCTGGACGTAACACGACACTCGGTGCCTGACTACATGTGACCGAGCGAACCAACTGGGTGGCTGAATCAACATGTGATATCATAACATACTGAATGCGGAAGATAAACTAACACATGTTGATATACCGAAAGTCTAAATGAGATAAATCAAAGTGCGAAAATACTAATACAATTCTGAAACATATTTGTAGCCAACATAGCTTAACATGAAAAGCCTGAGACTCTGTCTAACTGTTACTCTAATCTATGAAGCCTCTATTGAAGTACTGAAAACACTGACTATCTGTAAATACTGAAAGGCTGTAAAGTAATGATAATGCCCCGAAAGAACTGGGGATCACCAAATAGCTGGTACGAGAATCCTAGCGCTCTGAATCATCAACCTGTAAATTATTACCTGCATTGTAAGATGCAGGCCCTAGGCAAAAGGGACGTCAGTACATTTGAATTGCACTGGTATGTAAAGCAACTGAAAGAAAGAATTATAAATGTTAAAACTAAAACTAAGCTGATAACTGAGGATTGAAAACTGAAATGATAACTGTTGAAGCTGAAACTGAAATGATAACTGATAGCTAATAACTGAAATGATAACTGATAACTGAACTGATAATTGATAATTGATAACTGAACTGATAACTGGTAACTGAAATGATAACTGATAACTGAACTGAACAAAGGAAGTAAGGATACGAATACTCCCTCTTCTGAATGATGAACAACCTGTTTTCTGAATATTAAACTGCGGCCTCAGGCCCAATATATATATGTGCACAATTGCGGCCTCGGGCCCAAGTATACGTATACATAACTGCGACCTCAGGTCCAAAATGCATAAAGCATAAACTGCGGCCTCTGGCCAAAGATGCATAAAGCATAAACTGCGGCCTCTGGCCCAAAGATGCATAAAGCATAAACTGCGGCCTCAGGCCCAAATACAGGTGTTCAACATTCAGGAACTGAGAATCAAACTGCAATACATGATAAATACTGAACCACACTGAGTTACATGATACTGAAATACTGGATCACACTGAGTTACATAACCAATAATATAAACTCTGGAACTTTTATTTTTGATTAAATCTCTTTTAACATAAAATTTCATATAATAAGAATTGATGCAAGTAAATAACTATCAAATTGGATAAAGAGGACATTGCATATTAACTATTGGACGTTATTTATTTACATACATAGAGGAACAAAAATATCCCTTCTTGAATGTGGCCTTGCAAGGTGACATATTCTTTAAATCCATGGATAATATTTACATATTGACTAAAAGTGATACATTTACAATGTTGTAATTAGTCTTCTTCTTCGCAATCCTTAATATATATAATGGTACCTATAGAAGCAGAAAGCGATGATCAAATGTCAATATCCAATATAAGGAGACTAACTTATTTTCCAGGTAAATGAAGAAAGAAAGCAGAAGAAAAGGAAAAAGGGGACTATCATTGATTTAGAAAATCATTCAAAAGAGGTTGAGGTATGTGCAACGTAACCCACTACCTCAAAAGGAGAAGAATGAACGAACATATAAATAGAACAAAGGGTGCAAGGATACAAAAGTGCCATCTAACAATTTTTTTTTTTGAGAAGTGCCCTCTAACATTAACAAAAGAAAAATAAACATGATGGATCTTGAAGGAGGACGGTACACTCTTCAATTTTTTCTTACTTGTAATTCATGATAAAAATCATAAACGGGTTCATTTATAAAGACGTGTTTATTTAAAAAGTCTCATATATGAATAAAATTTAGTCTTGACTTATAATAATGATAAAAGAATAATGAGATGGAAAATTATTTTCGCGTGAATTTAGAAGGTATTTTGGCTCAGATGGAGTCAGCAAATGGATAGTTTTTTAAATTTGGAATGGACAGTTTTTTTAATTTTAAAATTGAAGAACCTGTAGCAACTGAGGACAAATATACCAAAAAGCACCTAAACCAAGAAGATTAATTTTAACCATAGTATCCTAGTACAGTGAGATGAGTCACACCATAAGTACTATCAAATATGAAAGCTGCTATTTTAAAGTGCTGCATTTTTCATGAAAAGTTCAAAAAAAAAAAAAAAAACAGAGGATTAAAAAGCTCAGCAAGACAATTCAGCAAATTACTTTTGCTCAAGGCAACAATAGCATTGGCAGTTGCTTAAAGTGTGATTGGAACCTTCAAAAATACTGAATATTATACTTACAAGTTCCTGCTAATTATCCATACACTTATTTACTTAGGTTCTTCATTAAAAAGGTCAACAAAATACCGTGCCCAGAAATATTATAATCACTAAAAGATGGAGCATTTTATAATATATAGAAGGTTGTTGTGACGACCCAAAGGGTCATCACCTATTTTCTTACTCATTCTGTGCTTCTGAGGCCTTGAAAACCTCATTCGAGGTTGTCTCGATTTGCGTGCGCAGACCGGGCGCGTAGCCGGAAAGCTTAAATATGAATTCTGTGAGAAAAATGCTAAATTCTGATATTAAATTGAATAAATTTGACTTCGGTCAACATTTTGGGTAAACGGACCCGGACCCGTGATTTGACGGTTCCAGAGGGTCCGTAGGAAAATATGGGACTTGGGCGTATGCCCGGAATCGAATTCCGAGGTCCCAGGCCCCAGAAATGAATTTTTGTGTGAAATTATTTTCTGGAAATAATTAAGGAAATTGAAAATAAAATTTGATTAAAAGACTATGGTATCGGGCTCGTATTTTGGTTCCGGCGCCCGGTACAAGTCTTATATATGATTTAAGCGCTTTTAGTAAAGTTTGGTTGAAAACGGACGTTCGTTTGACGTGTTTTGGACTTAAAATGGGAGATTTGATGTTTTATGAAAATTTGGAAGGAATCATGGATTTTGAGGCTTAATTCAATGTATATGACGTTATTTTGGCGATTTGATCGCGCGAGTAAGTCCGTAGGATGTTTTTGAGGTTGTGTGCATGTTTGGTTTGGAGCCCCGAGGGCTCGGGTGAGTTTTGGATAGGTGTCGGAGTGCATTTTCAACCTTGGGAATTTTGCTGCTATAACTGACCTGCAAGCCTGGCTCGCAAATGCGAGCTCGCAATTGCGAAGGTCTGCTCGCAAATGCGAGAAATTGCCAGGCCTGAAACACATCGCAAATGCTAAGTTGAGCCTCGCAAATGCGAAGGCTGGGGTTTCGCAAATGCCAGGTTTCGCAAATGCGACCATATGGTTCGCAAATGCAAAGTCCCCAATTCTCCTCATAGTTCGCAAATGCGAACAAGTGTTCGCAATTCCCACTTTTGGTCGGGGTTCGCAATTGCGAACCCCAGTTCGCAATTCCCATATCTGCAGCCCAGCAATTTTCATACTTGGTCGAATTTTAGGCCATTTTTCACCCCCCCTTTCAAAATACAACTCCTTAGGCGATTTTTCAAGAACAAGTTTCATCCCAAATCATTTGTAAGTCGATTTTTACTTAATTCTTCCACTCATTAACATCATTAAACATGTTTTCCACTTAGAATCAATGATTTTCATGTGTGAAATTGGGGTTTTTGGGTAGAACCTAGGTTTTTCAAAAATTGGGGATTTGGACCTCAATTTGAAGTCCGATTTCAAAATAAATTACATATTTGAGTTCGTGGGGGAATGAGTAACCGGGTTTTGGTTCGAACTTCGGGTTTTGACCACGTGCGCCCGAGAGCGATTTTGGAATTTTTGGGAAAAACTTTGGAAAATTCATTTTTTATGCATTCAAATTGATTCATTTAGTGTTTATTAAAGTAATTAAGTGACTTGTGACTAGATTCGAGCGGATTGGAGGTGGAATCACGGGGTAACGCTATAGTTGAGGCTTGAGTTGAGTTCAAAGCATCGAGGTAAGTGTTCAGTCTAACCCTAGCTTGAGGGATTAGGAGTTGAGTCATAATTGCTACTTGTTTTGTGTTGAGTACGACGTATGGGCTTGGTGACGAGTATCCATGCGTCGGTGCAAGCATGACCGTGAGTCTTAATTTGATAATTGTGTACCCTTGTTTGATCCTAGGAACGTTGTGACTAAACATTGGTATTAGATGTGCCAGGAAGAAGTTGAATAGGATTGGTTATAGCTGACTCTCCGTTGTCGGGATGTTTGACTTGTTGTTATAGTTCCCTTGCCGGGAAGAGTATTAATTTGATTGTTCCCTTGCCGGGAAGAGTATTAATCTGATTGTTCCCTTGCCGGGATTGTATTGTGCATCGTGTTGAAAGTAAAGGGAGCGGGTGGTACGCCTACCACAAGTGATATTGAAATGGGAGCGGGTGGTACGCCTACCACAAGTGATATTGAAATGGGAGCGGGTGGTACGCCTACCACAAGTGAAATTGAAATGGGAGCGGGTGGTACGCCTACCACTAGTGATACTGAAATGGGAGCGGGTGGTACGCCTACCACGAGTGATATTGAAATGGGAGCGGGTTGTACGCCTACCACGAGATATTGAGAAATGGGATCGGGTTGCACGCCTGCAACAAGATGAGTTGAATATGAAAGTTGTCTTATCTTTTCATTATTGTTAGAAGTTAAACTGTAGACGTACGTACCATTATTCCTGATAGTTTGTGTCTATCTGTTACCCCTGAAGCATGCTCCCTTCCCCAGCTTAAATTGTTATTTTCTTGCTATTTTTCTATTGTACTTGTATATATATCTGTACAGGTTTATCTGGAGTCTGGTCCTAGCCTCGTCACTACCTCGCCGGGGTTAGGCCAGACACTTACCAGCAAATGGGGTCGGTTGTGCTGATACTACACTTTGTGCTATTTTGCACAGGACTAGGTTTCGAGCAGCAGCAGCAGTAGTGTGAGAGCAGGCTTCATTTCAGCGAGACCCGAAGTAGCCTTACAGGCGTCCGCAAGCCCGGCGTCTCCTCTATCCTTTATTTTTATCTGTTATCTCATTGTAATCGAGACAAACAGCTTATATTCTCTTTCAGACGTTTGTATGTAGTATTCTTAGCAGTTCGTGAGTACAGTGACACCAGTCGTGGGTAGAGGATTTTGTTGAACTTTCCGCGTTTTTATTCAGTTTTATAAAATGTTAAGACTTCCGCTTATTATTGAATTTCGTTGTTTTTGTATTTTTGTTGTAAATTGTTAAATGGATTGGGTTATTAATGGACAAGTAATTAAATTTGGCTTGCCTAGCTCTCATTAGTAGGCGCCATCACGACTCCCGAGGGTGAAAAATCCGGTTCATGACAGTTGTATTAGGAAATAAAATCAAGTGAAGCATTATAACTTTCTCAATACAAAATGTCCGTGTAGCTCAATTTCTAACATGTGGAAGGTCCCTTTCTGCCATATAATATATGCACATTCTAATGCAACATCAAAGCAATTCAGCCCAACTTTGAAGTTGAAATTTCTAAACTAACATGCTACCACTGTACTCACTTTCAGCTTATAAAACTCTTAACAAGTTAAGGAAATAATAGGGAAGAAGTTTGTTCATGCTTTGCTTAAACCAAAATATAGGAAGGAGAAAAATCATAATAGAAGTAATAACTATTAATCTTAAGAAGAGTTCTATCATGCTTTTTTAAACCACAACATGAGAAAAAGAAAATCACAAGTTCGAAATCGGAACTCTTATTATATCAACTCAAATATTTCTATATACAGTCATAATTAGCTTAAATGACCACAACCTTTCATGGCTTAAAGGTAAAAGAGAGTGAACAAAAAGATTAAAGTTGAGGAATCATCTTTTTGTTTTTTCCTTCTTAGTTTTGTTCTCTCAATCACTAAATACATCACTAATTCTCAAAAGAACTAAAGTTCTCTTTATTATTCAGATTCAGAATTCCAAAACATAGAAAATTAACTCTTATAATCTTCCTTCTAATATTTTTTCTTTCCTCTTTGACTTCAAAAATGGTAGCAAGCATTAGTAAGTACTGAGACAGAAAAGATAACTTTGGCTAACTCAGTACACTAATCCAGGCTTACCTATTTATCAAAATCACAATTTTAAGTCGTCCCCTGATTTAAAAAACTCAGTAAATTGAAATTTAGCATGCTAGAAAAATCTCCAGTATTTATAAGTATTATTTATAAATAAATTTTGACTGCTACAGAATGAAACATTTGAAGTCCAAAAGGCAAGCATGCTTTAAACATCAATAGGTTTTAAACATTTTACTTTTATTAGCAGCACATACCTTTACTGCACACCAAATGACTCGAACAGCAAAGCAAAGAGGCTAAAGCTTTCTTCCCGATTATCTAGAGAGACATGTTCATTGAGCAATCAATCTTGGTCCTTTCTGACTTTTTCCGCTGCATAATGTTTCTGAAATTGAACAATCTATAACAGCAAAAAAAAAAAAACCTACAAAATCAACTAAGCTAAAATCAAAGTAAGTAGATTTTGGATTGAGCAGAGAGAGAGAAGAAATCTCATATCTACGATGAAACTTAGGAAGGCGATAAGAATGAGGAGACTGTGCGGTGGGTGCAGGAGTAGAAGCCACGTAGGTATTCTTCATATGCGAACTGAAAATCAGTTTCTTTATAATAAAAATTTTCAAATAAAAAATGACAGAGCTTCTGAAGATGAAAAGCTTTGATCAACCACCTACTTCAAATCAATGCTAACATGTGTCTAAATGCGATACAGGAACAGTAAATTACTAAAGATCCATTAAAACATTGAAACAAATTATCAACTTTCTCATACTATCAGTAGATACAACCATTAATGGCAACGCCATAATATTGTTGCCCTACACCCCCTACCACAATAATGAAAATGCGAATTTGTGTTTTGTCAAATCTAGCAATGCACCGAATTCACCATTATTGACAAAATTTTATACCACTATTCTTTGCTTAGGTCAATTAGTGTGAGTAATCAATTCCCTATTTGGTTTTTGAAACCTTCCCATCTTCCGAACTTGTTTTACATGAATACATATGTTAGTTTAGTGTTGTCGCATAAATACATATTCTCTTCACAAGAAAGACATTCATCAGCTTAGTGATATATAAGGAGACCATGAACTGATACTCATCAAGAAATGATTCTACTTAACCCCAAAATAAAAACTTACCAGTCATACACAAATCTTCATAGATAAGAACACATAAAGGCATCAAACCAATATAGAAAGTTTGTGGCAAAAAAATTAAAAGAAAGTGAATGTGAAATCCAAATGAAGAAAAACCTGTTACAAACCTGCAGATTCTGATAGTCAAATTTTAAACATATTGAGCCTGGACATTTGAAGTATCTGTTACAAATGCAAGCTAACTTTAGAGACAGAACATGATAACAGAAAACAATAGGACATTCTCATCAAAAGAGTAAAAGGTCAGTGGAGAAAGTTCTTATACACACCTTCTATCTTAATGAGTGTGGTTTTATCTTTACCAAAAACCAAAGAATGTGATTCTATGTGATCAACTGTCAGTCACTTCCTAGCAATCTTGCATATTACACAACGAAAAAAAATCACCTTCGAATTCCATGGCACTGACTTACCTAGAATTCATATAACAGTATCCACATTTAAAGGGCTCAATGATTTCAGAACTTCGCCATAATTTTTCAACACACACGGATCACTATATTTTCTCTTGAACAACTTTATCTTTACTTTCCTTACCATAAATATTATGGTTAGAACTTAAATTTACATTTAAATCAAATAGAATTGGAATAAATAAAAATTAAGAAATATATTCACAATTGAAACCTGTGCTGTCAGTTTGCTAAGAAATATTATGATTAGAACTTAAATTTACATTTAGATCAAATAAAATTGGAACAAGTGAAATTAAGTAATGTATTCACAATTGAAATTAAGAAATATATTCACAGCTAACTTCTCAGCATCTATAAGCGAGACATCAATTTGGTAACATAAATGTTCTAGCATTTTTCCTCTTGCAATACTGAAATAGACAATCTTTCTTCTTTGTTTATCGACACAATGGGGTGTTAACAACTTGTTTCTCAGGTCAGTTAAAGCCCTCAACTGAAAGTAATAAATATAAAAAAGGAGTAGCATTTCAACAATCGAAATAAATAGTTTCTTGAAGACAATTTGCAGATCACTTCTTGTGTTGGGAAATTTTTGCACCAGTTTGAAAACTTTATATATATGTATTTAAAATTCAAAAGCCAAGAACAAACATTTTTACATTATATGGGATAACCATCTGACTGACCAATATGCATGTTCGCTAGACAGATTGACCACTTCAATTACCTACGGGGATTAAAGCAATCAGGACACAAAAGCAATCAGGACACAGAATTGACAATCGATGCAAGTCTGCCCACCCCACATCCAAGGTATTACTATTCATTGGACGGGATAAAGCAAAATAAAAGATATTCAAATTGCAAAGTGAATCAAAATGCATTATGTAAAAAGAAATTTCAACCACCACAATAAGAAGGATGGCAACTTTACCTAAAAATGAAAGAATTTTGAGTCTTTTTATTCTTTTATAAATTTGTAAGAGAGAATTCTTCAAGTAAACATATAAAATAATGAGGAGTCCCAATCCAATAAAAGCATGTAGCATTGTTCAGCATTGTTCATTTTTTGTATTATGGGAATGGAAGTCTGACCATGGCTCAATGAAGCATAAATCAAAAGCACATTCATAACAGCACCATTTATTATCTAGAGAAGCAATCACCAAGTAGTTACTGACGTTCATATAGATAGTGACGACTTGCATCTAATATGAGCAATAAAAGCATATATAACATTTCAAAAAAAAGCAGTGACTTAAGCAGAAAGCTAAACCCCAGAATGCATTAACTTCAAAAATGCAAGGTCAGGGCAATATCTACTTGTACTCGCTGGCATTCATGATACCAGTGCCGATATGTAGACTAATTTATGGTTATGAACTATCTCTTGTGTCCTCCATCAGGACCTCGAACGATTCCTTTCATTCATAAGTCATAATTGACCATGGCATTTTGATTATAAATCTGCAAGATTGAATTGAATTATAAAATAACGGAGGTAGGCAACATAAATGTTTTTCCTGTATTTTATAGGAGCTAGGAGCTAGATAGCTAGATAGTTGTGAATTCAACCCGCAGATTGATAAAAATCATTATGCACAGAGGTGGAACGCAATAAAGTTACATGAATTCATTGTGAGATGAACTCATGATTCAAAGAAGTGTGTGAATATCTAAAACCTTTCCTTTCAGAATTGCATATAGTCAAAGCGACAATCTAATTTTTCGACCGGTTTTTAGAGTAAAGTGATGAGTCTCTTATAACATTATTTAATCTAGATATATAGTTATGTAAGTTGAGTCTTATTGGCATACATCAAAAGTAAAAAGAAAAAAATAATTCAAATAATTAGACAATGTTTATACTTACATAAACTACCAAGAATTCAAAGAAAAAAAAAGGCCAATAGAAGTGCAGTACTTACAAGATGATGTGCAGACAGGGGAACACATAGCTACTACAATCCATAGGCCATAGCAAAACTGAAATAAAGAAGATGAAATAAACAAAATCACAAAAGCATCAGAAATAGGGAGGCGAAACCCAAAAAGTTGGAGAAAGGCGCAAAATAATAGAAACAAAAAGATTAATGAGGGACATGCAACTGAGAAATCGAGAAAATAGCAAGCAATACATGGACTGTTTGTGCTTTATCAAATTCTGGTTTGAAGGAAACCAACACATATCTACCAAAATACCATCACAACGAAATGGGTAAACCAAATTCTAGGGAACAGAGTGCAGAGGAACTCAACACAATTCATAGGTACAACAAAACCCAAAATCAAATAGCAGATGGAGAAATCTAGAAATTGAATAATAAAGCTAATGGCCGGAGAGACCAAGAAACTAAGGAGAAAAACTAAAACAGAGTAACGACCGAGCAGAAAGGATTTAGATGAAACTCAAATTTGCACTTCAAAAAGGGATTCTTACTTGGTTCTACTTGCTCTTGTTGCTATGCTTTAATTATGGTGGGTTAAGATGGATTATTTATGTACGAATCTTTCTCTGTGCATACCAATAATATAATACAGATATGTTGGAAGCAAATGGAAGAATAACTTCTTTAACATGACCGACAAACAACACATAATATATACTATATTGTTAACTAATTTTATAAAAGTAAATAATGTACCTTTCGTTTAATGGATGATGGATGTGTATGTTGCTGAATACCTGTGGAAACAGAAAGGATAAACATTATTCAGTTGTTTCGGTCATATCGTCAAACGCCTTGACTGCATCAAAATTCTTCTATGTTTCATTACTATATTTGAACAACAATCATATTCACACACAAAAATATGAAGAAAATACGGGGAAAAAATCATAAATGTATGGATCATATGTCAAATAACATATCCACTGAATGGGGACCAAAAGCACATGTTCACAGATAACTTCATGAGCAGAATAAAGATTCCAGATCAACAATCAGAGAAAATACGACAGTTTTACTGCTAATTTCATCCTTGAAGAATCCATTTACTCCCAAAACAATCTTACCCAAGCAAAATGAGAAACAATACTATATCAGAAATATACATCTATGTATCTATTTTCAAATCAAATGAGATACAACTATGGATGCATGTACATAATAGAGCAAGAAACAAAAAGTAATACCTACCAAAGTCCTATTACTATGCAAAGATGGTTCACCAAACCAAGAAAAAATCAAGCAAAAATCATAGATCTCATATGCTGCAAAGAGAAGCTGGAATCAATATGCAGAAATTTGAATAAGAAATCAGAAGCGAAAGTGTCAAGGAGAAAATTCTGGAAGAGGATCGGTGTCACCGAAAGAGAGCGACAAATATTAGGAGGAAAAATAGAGGCTACGCGTCATCGGAGTAGAGCAAAGAACTCATAAAGGTTAGCGAAATGTCAAAACTACCCTCACTTTTGATTTAAATGCCACGAAACACACCTGTCGAAACTCTTTATCTTCTATATAATAGAAATATAGCACAAAAAGGAGAGAAATTTTGCATGTAAAAGGACTTTTAAAAGAATGAAGGACCTGCGGGAGGCTGAAAAGTCGTAATGCGCTAGCGAGTTAGCGCAACAATTTACTCTTGTTTTCTTCACTGCTATTGTTTTTTTAACATAAGGTCCGTAGGTTTGTAGCTTGCTTCTGTCCCTCTAGCGAGTTAGCGCAAAAGACTTGTAGTTTGCTTCTGTTTCGTTGGTATCACGACCCAAAATCCACTAAGGGTCGTGATGGCGCCGGACACCATTGTCAGGCAAGCCAACGACCAATAACTAGAAACTTCTTGTTTTAAACTTAAAGGAATCGTTCCTTTTATACATTTAGACAACAAGTAATGAAATTCATTGAAATAAGAATAATGTCTTTAACCAAGTAGATATTTAACAATCCTACAACCATCCCAGAACCCGGTGTCACAAGTGTATGAGCATCTACTGATAAGGAAATAAAATACAATATCCGTTCGGAATACAGTGGACAGGAAATAAATATAATGTACTGAAAAGGGTTATACTAGCTGCGGGCCGCCTCGAATAATGCAACTCACCTAGCCCCCAAATCATCCGTGCTGTTACGCCAGTAGGCCACAAGAGTCACATATACATGTGCAACAAAAATGCACAGAAGTGTAGTATGAGTACGAAAATAACGTGTACTCAATGAATATCCCGCCTAACCTCGAAGAAGTAGAGATGAGATGGTCGACTTAGACACTTACTAATGGTCCAATAGTGAGGTCAGTAATACATTAAATTATGGATTTCTACAAAACATGATTTTAATCCAAATAGAAGGAAACAAGTAAACAATTAATTCTTTTATAGAAAATTTCCAAGATTTCTTTTTGTAATTATCCAAATAACTTCAAGCTATGAAGAGGCAATAATAACGTAACTAAGCTCAAGGCAGCAATACAAGCATGCGCACATCATGCCGAGGAGACGGCCCGATCCAACAGAAATAAACTGTGCACTTGCCGAGGGTCGACGGCGCGCCTATAGATGCATCTATTTAATCTGCCGAGGCGTTCGGCCCGTTCCAAAATAATCACATAGACACACTCAATCGAAGAGCCAACATGGGGCAATTATTCAAAGAAAAGCTAATTCTCTTTTAACAATTTAAAAAAATGAGGTTTACATCTTGTTAGGAATTCATTTACTATTTTGAGGTGGTTTAAGCATTTAAACTATTCATAAGATTACAAATATTCAAAGTATAGCATCCTTTTAGGTCCTAGACTACCCGGACAATAGCATAACAGTAGCTATGCACGGACTCACGTCACATCGTGCGTACGTAGCCCCCACAAATAGGAGCAAATATCCAATTAATTCACCTATGGGGACATTTCCCTCTCACAAGGTTAGAAAGGAGACTCACCTCGCTCCGAAGATCCATAACCGGCATTCCACGCCCTTCCGAAGACTCCAATTGATGCACCACGCTCCAAAACTAGCCAACGGTTAAGCAAATCCATTAATATATGCTCAATTGTTCATTACAATCTAATTTATAGCAATTCCTAACTCCGATCGAAAAGTTGACCAAAACGCCCTCGGGCCCACATGCCCGGAATCCGAAATTTTTCGAAGATAAAGATTATCCATGACCTTAGGAACTCAAATATATAATTTTCACTAAATTCCATACTCAATATCGTGGCTAAATTCCAAGAATAAAATTTCTAGGTTTTCCACCAAAACCTCAATTTTTTCTACAATTTTCCAAGTCTAAATCCATACATAATTGATGTATTTAACTCAATATAGGTGGGAATATCTTACCTTAACGTTGATGACGGAAACCCCCTCTTGAAGCTCCCCAAAAATTGCCCAAGCCATGAAAAATATGAGAGAAATGGTCAAATCCCGATTTTTAAAACGACCTTCTCCCTCCAGCTATTTCCGCACCTGCGGTCCCTTGACCGCTTCTACGGTTCCGCAGGTGCGGTTAAATTACCGCTTCTGCGGTCCTCCCTAGGCCGCCCTGCTTCGCTTCTGCGACTTCCCTTCCGCAGATGCGGTCCCGCTTCTGCGGAACTTTGACCGCATCTGCGGTCCTCTCCAAGATGCCCTCTTCCGCTTCTGCGCTCGCTTCTCCGCAGATGCGGTCCCGCTTCTGCGGAACCTTGACCGCATCTGCGGTCCTCAAGCCTTTGACCAAAATCCGCTTCTGCGGCTCCCTTTCCGCTTCTGCGGGGTCGCTTCTGCTGTTAACCCACCGCAGAAGCGAAAATACCAGCAACCAGATCCTTCAGCTGACCAAAAATCCCAATTTCGATCCGTTAACCACCCGGAATCCACCCGAGGCTCCCGGGACCCCAATCAATCATACCAACCAGTCCCAAAAATACATTACGGACTTGCTCGAGGCCTCAAATCACATCAAACCACACGAAAATCATGAATTACACCCCGATTCAAGCTTCATGAACTTCAAAATTTCAAACTTCTATTTCCGATGTTTAAACCTATTGAATCACGTCCGATTGACCTCAAATTTTGCGCACTAGTCATATTCGACATTACGGACCTACTGCAACTCCGGAATTGGATTCTGATCCTGATATCAAAAAGTCCACTTCTGGTCAAACTTCTCAAAAACCTTCAAATATCTATCTTTAGCCAAATGGCTCCAAAATGACCTGCGGACCTCCGAATTCACTTCCGATCGCGCTCCCAACTCTAGAATCACCATATGGAGCTATTCCAGGGCTCGGAATCCCAAACGGACATTGATAAAACTGAAATGCACTTCAAGCCAAACTTAAGAAATTTCTTCAAAAATGCTAACTTCCACAATAGGCGCCAAAACGCTCTCGGGTTATCCAAAACCCGAACCGGGCATACGCCCAAGTCCGAAATCATCCTACGAACTTGCAGGAACCTTCAAATCCCGATTCCGAGGTCGTTTACTCAAAATTCCAATCCTAGTTCATTCTTTCAACTTTAAGCTTCCGAAATGAGAATTCTCTTTCCAAATCAACTCTGGACTTCCCGAAATTCAGTTTCGACCACGCGCACAAGCCACAATACCTGAAATGAAGCTACTCACAGCCTCAGGCTGCTGAACGGGGTGCTAGAGCTCAAAACGACCGGTCGGGTCGTTACAGTTGGTACTCCGCATTTTCGCGGAGAATTCAATTTCACTGGCGGAGATCTGCAAAGGTAAGCGAATGCCTTTTGCTTAGGACCCGTTCCGAGTGCTTCTACAATCCGGATTCTCGCGAAGAGAACAAGATGCTGCTCCCCTTTCCTCTTTCTTTTCCCGCTTTGCTAATATGGAGGGCTAGAAAAGGACTTTTGACTAAGGGAGCTTATCGGATGGATCGGGCGGATATTTACGCTTAATGGTTCGGCTTATCGTTTATCAGTTTATAAATATAATATCTGCTAGCCAACCAATATGACATTAGGAGGATTGATGTCGGATTAGTGATTATCGATCGTTTTGTCGGTTAAATCAAATAGACAATAAAAAGAAGTACACACTATCATAAAACTTTGCTTGAAGAGTTTACAAGAATTTGTTCCACTTCAGGTTTTCGACCGTAGCGTATTTCAACAAATTTAGCTGGACATTCATTTTCTTGAAGTCACTCTTAAGGATGTTGTCGATGTTGAGCTGCTATTGATTTTTTGCTTGATGAGGTAAAGAGAAAATGCCTATGCTACTACTGCGGGCTGCTAGTATTGAATTGGGAAATTAGGAATTTAGGATTTCAAATAGTACTGTTTTAATGGGTTAATAGTTTATCCGGTAAGAAAATTGAGTAATCCGTCCCAAACTGTTAAATCGTTAATTATAAAATTTTAATGCAAGATAACCCGTAATCAATAATTCAATAAGTCAATTTAGCGACTCGGTTAGCGGTTATGGTTCGATTTTGAACAATCCTACTTTTGAGTAGTCTAGAGCCCAATGATGTTGCCGATAAATGAAGTGGAAGGAGAACAATGAAATATTAGCATCATCTGTCAGTTGAACATAGCGGTGTTCGTCATTCGGTACGGTACGATATTTAGACATTTTGATTCGGTATTCGATTTTTTAAAATGCTATACCAATATCGTACCTAATTAAATTCGGTATGGTTCGTTTTTTCTCCTTAACTTCAATTTATTCGATTTGAAGACTAACTAATGCATAGAGCCATAAACTGTAATATTCTTAATTAAAGTACTCAAAAGTAAATAATAAGAACATTTGTTGACAAAAGTTTTGTTCAAAACCAACAAGTATCAACCTATAAAGAGAAAACTGCACATAGAAGAATAAATTTGATCATTGGAAATATCTCGTTACCTGCTTAGGGTTAATTGATGAACTTAGAGAACAAAACGAAAGTAAAATTTTAGAATTTTATATTATTATAATAGTATGTGTATTGTATTATTATAATATATATTTCGGTACGATATCGGTATTTCAATATTTTATTTTAAAATACCAAATACCATATCTAATACCAAAATTTTTAAAACTTTATACCTAATACCAAAATACCGAATACACAAATTTTCTGTTTCAGTACGGTAATTCGGTATTTACCAAATTATGCATAGCCCTAGTTGAACACTCCAACTTATCTAGTGATCATTTAGACACCTTTCGTTTCCGTAAGTGTACCGTGTGCACACCTGGATCTGATAGACCTCAAGCGTGAGTTGCACTCGCGAATGACATGGTAAAGTAACAAATAAAAAAATGATACGTGTAATTTTGAGGAAAAAATAAAATTTAACTGATCACTTCACGGACTTCAAAATTTTTGTCCTACGCGGGAAGGCTACAACTGATAAAAAGTATTCTTTTTCTCTATGCAAACGTTTTGGTGCCAGATATTTATCATGCCAAA